TGTCAGACCTGTGGGAAAAGTTTTAACCAAAAAATTCATTTAGTCACTCACATGAGAATTCACACAGGTGTGAAACCTTTCTCTTGTCAGACCTGTGGAAAAAGTTTTAGTACAAACAACAGTTTATTCATGCATGTAGGAACTCACACAGGTGAGAAGCCCTTCTCATGTCAGACCTGTGGGAAAAGTTTTAACCAAAAAAGCGGTTTAGTCTATCACARGACAACTCACACAGGTGAGAAGCCCTTCTCCTGTCAGACCTGTGGGAAAAGGTTTAATCAAAAGGTCCATTTAACGTCCCACATGAAACTTCATACAGGTGAGAAACCCTTCTCCTGTCAGGCTTGTGGAAAAACATTTTTTTTCGAAAGTATCGTTATTTCTCACATGAGAACTCACACAGGTGAGCGGCCTTTCTCATGTCAGACCTGCGGGAAAAGTTTTAACCAAAAAATTCATTTAGTCACTCACATGAGGACTCACACAGGTGAGAGGCCGTTTATGTGTACGACTTGTGGAAAAAGTTTTAGTCAAAAAGGCAATTTAATAATCCACATGAGAACTCACACAGTTGAGAAGCCTGAGTGTTTTAAGAGTTCCCAGAACATGTAAAAAAATCTACTTTAATTCAAGTTGACCTTTGTTTAGAAGAGAGCTCTGTTATCATCCAGTTAAATCCCATTTATTCCTCTCACCACACTATTTAAAGACAAACTGAGACAAAGACTGAGTCAGTGTTTAAACTGTGGCTGTCAGAGGTAGTTTGTTAAAAATGTAGAAACCTCTAGAGGAAAATGTACACAGAGACATGAGGTGTTCAGATATTTCAGGTTAATTGTTGAAATAGTTTCTTTATGTTGTTTCAATAACAGATTATTTTTGATGTWCAGTTACATTGTTGTCTCTTTGTCCTGCAGACTGTAGAATCTGTAACACGTTTTATCAACAAGCTGCAGTTAAAACTGTTCAGACTTTGAGTCAAGTCATTAATAAAACATGTTTTTATCTCAACAAGGTGTTTTCGTTGTTAGTCTGTAGTTTTGACCGCACACTCACAGTGTGACAGCAGCCAGTCACATCCAGCTTGTATCATTATTTAATAAATCATTTTTAAATTTAAGCACAGTTCTGATTGCAGGTGAAGCCAGACACACCGCAAAACAACTAAGAGAAAATGATTACAAATTAGTGATGTTACGCTCGACACTGTTTTGAGCGAATGAAGCAGAAGTGTGGTAAGATGGTGTTGGGAGCGCTGCTTCAGCACGCTGATAATCACGTGACTAATCCAAACAAGACTTCGTTACGTCACATGTTGAACTGTTTCAACCTTTGAAAAGGACCTGATTCATGTAAAAGCAGTGTTTTTTAAGGGGAGGTGCCACGTGAAAGAGTCTTCTACACTGGAGAGGGAGCAGCAAAGAAGAGCAACAGATTGACCATCTCAGCCGAAATAATCTTATTTTTAAATAAAAATTATTTTTGACCCCGCCCCCCCCACACTGCACGTAAATTTCCATTTTAGTCCTCATTTTAAAACACTTTTTACTGATTTATTATTTCTTGCCAAAGAGTATTTATGTAAAGATCCTGTTGAATAATGAACTTCTGTTTCAGGGATAAATATGTAGAAGAAAGTTGTGTGAGGTATTTGTAAAACTGAAATAACAGATATTTCAGACTTGCTGTGTGATCATGTTTTTTAATATAGAAACTGTAGAAAAATGCTATGATTAATAAAAACAATGCAGACTTTTATTTACATGTGATATTTAGCAAAGCAATAATTATGAACAATAAGCTTCAGGTTTATATAAATAAGATCACAGCTGCTTCATCACATACAGGATTTTGTGACGGCACAGCCACATTTTACTGTAATATTTTATTATTATTCTTAAAGAAAACAGTCAGGATGTTGAAGATGTGTGTAGAAGTTTTATTATCCAGAACAGAGGCTGACTGGTTCATCAGTTTGTGCTTCTTTGTTTCATGAAGCTGGAATGTTAAAGCTTGGCCAACAGATGGAGAAACACTTAAATGGATCAATTGATACGAAACACTGAGTCATTTTTTAAATTGAACAAAATCAAACATTAACAAAAAAAAAAACTATGACATTCTCATCAACAAAAATCAATAATTTCCATTTGTATTTAGAGCACAACTTCAATCTTATAGAACAAGAACTTTTTTCTTTCTTTTTAACAAAGCTTAAGTGTAGAAGAGGATTAGAGCCACTGGGGAAAAAAGGAATTCTGACTTTAATCTCAGAATTCTGAGATTAAAAAGTCAGAACTCCTTTTTCTCCCAGTGACCCTAATCCTCTTCTGTACGTAAGAAACAAAAAATAGAACTAAAAATAAAATAAAATAATTTAAGGAGTTATTAACTGAAATTTCTTCATTAATTTGTACAATTTTTCAGCTTTTGCATTTTCGTTCATTACAGCACAGAATGAGGGAGAACATTTTGAAAATCAACATTTAAGTTTATAAAATTTCGCAAACACTGAGTCCTTTCAGCACAATTAATTCATATTGATTCAGTGATTCAGAAAGCCTCGGTTTATCCATCACTAGTACAAAACAAAATTAGACTAAAAATAGTTTAAAATGATTTGAACAATTAGTTTTTACATTTTATACAAACCGATTAGAGCCGCTCTCCAGTAGGTGACGGTAACGC